CCACCCAGTTTTTTCCCCCCATCAGGGGACTGTGCCCCCCCATCAGTGACCCCCCCCCCTTCAGTGATTTGTGCCCCCCATCAGTGATCTCCTCCCATCAGTGGACTGTGCCCCGCCCAATCAGTTGATCTCCTCCCCATTCAGTGGACCTGTGCCCCCAATCAGTGATCTCCCCCCATCAGAGATTTAAAATTTATAGGGAGATGGACCCACAATTGAGCACTCAATTCTCCGCCCAATTAGGAACTGATAAGGATCACTTGAATGGGGGGGATGATTCTCAAACAGACCAGGACACAGACCACAGTCATATTAAACGGTAATAAGATGTTATGTTCTATTTACACCCAGTAACCCCCCGTCATGTCCGTCCTCTGCCTCCATAGTCATGTCCGTCGTCTGCCACCATACGGTCCTGTCCCGTCCTCTTCCTCCATAGTTCCTGTCCGTTCGTCTGGGCCTCCATAGTCCTGTCCGTCACTCTTCCTCCATAGTCCTGTCCGTCCTCTTCCATCATAGTCCTGTCGTCCTCTTCCTCCATAGTCCTGTCCGTCCTCTTCCTCCATAGTTCCTGTCCGCCTCTTCCTCCATAGCCCTGTCCGTCCTCTTCCTCCATAGTCGTGTCCATTCCTCTTCCTCCATAGTCACTGTGATGTCTTTTATCTCCAGCAGATGGAATGATACATACACATCAAATTTAGAAGGACACAAGGATCTCTACAAGGACGTCTTGATGGACAATCAGTCCCCCCTCACATCAACCCGGGTAAGAGGAGACTTTATTGTTAAAGGAGAGAGCAGTACGGAGGATCCACTAGATCCCCCATCATCTGATAAACACATAGAAACAATGGATTCAGTCAGTGTGTGCGTGTTCCTACAGATGGATCCAGTCATGGGAACCCACCAGAGAGATGTCCCCGTCCTCTGTATTCCCGGGATTCCACACCAGGAAGGTCATACACCTTCCCTCACCATCATCAGGTAGATGATGACAAATTATTGGTAGTTGTGATTTATACACAGCATGTTTGTTACAGATGAATGTTTTTTTATATCTTTTCAGGAGTGGAATCCTCGGGGTTGATAATATTGAGTGTTATAAAGAAGAGTATAAAGAGGAGGGATGAGCGAGTATGGAGTGATGGAGGAGTTTTCAGAAGGACACAAGATACGATGGAGCCCACCTAATACCAGGAACCCACCAGAGAGATGTTCCCCGGCTCCTCTGTATTCCCGGGATTCCACACAGGAAGGTCACACCATCCCCTCAGTATTACAAGGTTGGTGGGGCAGAGAGTATGGACTTGGGACAATATATGGATTTTTTTATGTGAGTTTATATTTTACAGGTGACCTCTTCTTATCATTTTCTTGGTTTAGAGTGAAGATCTGCTAGACATCAAAGTTGAGGTGGGAAAGCAGAAGAAGAAGAGGGCGTATGTGAGGGTGATCAGCAGTCTATGGGAGGAGGATGAATAACGGGGACATTTATAGAGGAGGACCCACTCCTACAGAGATCAGCACAGTGGGTCATGAACACTAAATCCATTCCATCCACCCATACTGCTCACTGATTGGAAAACATTCCTTCTTGACCCCCCGAGAGGCAATCGGATATTCCCTGGGATCAAACTTTCCCTATAAATGTTTTATATCCAGTTATATTCTGTGTATCCAAGAAAGAATCCAGGATTTCCTACAGCAAACCCCCCCATTATGTATTATACATGGAGATCATATCCCCCCTTATGTATTATACATGCGAGATTCATATCCCCCTTATGTATTATCATGGAGATCATATCCCCCCCTTATGTATTATACATGGAGATCATATCCCCTTTATGTATTATACATGGAGATCATATCCCCCATTATGTATTATACATGGAGATCATATCCCCCTTATGTATTATACATGGAGATCATATCCCCCCCTTTATGTATTATACATGGAGATCATATCCCCCCCTTATGTATTATACATGGAGATCATATCCCCCTTATATATTATTCATGGAGATCATAATTTCCCCCCTTATGTATTATAACATGGAGATCATATCCCCCTTATGTTTTAACATGGAGATCATATCCCCCTATTATTTATTATACATGGAGATCATATCCCCCCCTTATGTATTATAACATGGAGATCAAATCCCCCCCCTTTTGTATTATACATGGAGATCATATCCCCCACATTATGTATTATACATGGAGATCATATCCCCCTTATGTATTATACATGGAGATCATATCCCCCATTATGTATTATACATGGAGATCATATCCCCCCTTATGTATTATACATGGAGTCATATCCCCCTTATGTATTATTCATGGAGATCTTATCCCCCTTATATGTATTATACATGGAGATCATATCCCCCTTATGTATTATACATGGAGATCATATCCCCCCTTATGTATTATACATGGAGATCATATCCCCTTATGTATTATACATGGAGATCATATCCCCTCCTTATGTTTTAATTTATACATGGAGGATCATATCCCCCTTATGTATTATACATGGAGATTACATATGCCCCCCCTTATGTATTATACATGGAGATCATATCCCCCTTATGTTTATACATGGAGTCATATCCCCCCCTTATGTATTATGCATGGAGATCATATCCCCCCTTATGTATTATACATGGAGATCATATCCCCCCTTATGTATTATACATGGAGAACTCATATTCCCCCCTTATGTATTATAACATGGAGATCATATCCCCCCCTTATGTATTATACATGGAGATCATATCCCCTTATGAGTATTATACATGGAGATCATATCCCCCCTTATGTATTATACATGGAGATCATATCCCCCCCTTATGTATTATACATGGAGATCATATCCACATATGTAATACCCCCCCTTATGTATTATATACATGGAGATCATATCCCCCCTTATGTATTATACATGGAGATCATATCCCCCCTTATGTATTATACATGGAGTATCATATCCCACCTTATGTATTATACATGGAGATCATATCCCCCCTTATGTATTATACATGGTGATCATATCCCCCCTTATGTATTATACATGGTGAACATTATCCCCCTTATGTATTATACATGGAGATCATTCCCCCATCCCCCCTTATGGATATTATACATGGAGATCATATCCCCCCTTATGTATTTTATACATGGTGAGTCAATATCCCCCCTTATGTATTTATACATGGAGATCATATCCCCCTTATGTATTATACATTGGTGATTCATATCCCCCCTTAAGTATTTATACATGGAGATCATATCCCCCCCTTTATGTATTATACATTGGAGATCAATATCCCCCTTATGTATTATACATGGAGATCATATCCCCCTTATGTATTTTATACATGGAGATCATATCCCCCTTATTTGTATTATATACATGGAGATCATCATATCCCCCCTTATGTATTATACATGGAGATCATATCCCCACCTTATGTATTATTACATGGAGATCATTTAATCCCCCTTTTATGGTATTTATAACATGGAGATCATATCCCCCCTTATGTATTATTCATGGAGATTCATATCCCCCCTTATGTATTATTATTGGAGATTCATATTCCCCCTTATGTATTATACATGGAGATCATTATCCCCCCGTTATGTATATTATACATGGAGATCATATCCCCCCTTATGTTATTATACATGGAGTTCATATCCCCCTTATGTATTATACATGGAGAATCATATCCCCGCTTATGTATTATACATGGAGATCATATACCCCCTTATGTATTATACATGGTGATCATTTCCCCCCTTATGTATTATACATGGAGATCATATCCCCCCGTATGTATCATACATGGAGATCATATCCCCCTTAATGTATCATACATGGAGATCATATCCCCCCCCTTATGTATTATTACATGGAGATCATTATCCCCCTTATGTATTCATACATGGAGATCATATCCCCCCCTTATGTATTTATACATGGAGATCATATCCCCCCCTTATGTATTATACATGGAGATCATATCCCCCCCTTATGTATTATACATGAGAGATCATATCCCCCTTATGTTATTATACATGGAGATCATATACCCCCCTTATGTATTTTATACATGGTGATCATATCCCCCCCTTATGTATTATACATGGAGTATCATATCCCCCCCTTATGTATTATACATGGAGATCATATCCCCCATTCCTTATGTATTATAATGGAGATCATATCCCCCCTTATGTATTTATACATGGAGATCATATCCCCCCTTATGTATTATAATGGAGATCATATCCCCCTTATGTATTATACATTGGAGACATATCCCCCCTTATGTATTATACATGGAGATCATATCCCCCCTTATGTATTATACATGGAGATCATATCCACCCCTTATGTATTATACATGGAGATCATATCCCCACCTTAATCTCCTCTTCTCAGTAGAGAAATTCATTCAGTTTCCTCTAATCTCTCCTCATAGCTGATCTCCTCCATGCCTCGTATCAGTTTATGGTTGCCCTCTCTCAGTACTTCCCTCCAGTTCCCCAATGTTCTTTTTTGTGAATTGGAGCCCAAAAAAACTGAACTGCATATTCCAGAATGAGGTCTTACTAATGATTTAGTACCTAGGGGGGGGGGGGGGGGGAGGGGGGGGTGTTGATCTCTCTCTCTGGAGTCTATACCTCTCCTAATACAAGAGAGGATTTTGGCTCTGGTTCGCTTTAGGAATGCTTTGTTTTTTTTTTAGAACGCAGCTTTGTCATATGCATGTGATCTACCAGAAACCCCCAGATCTCCACCATTGATTTCCCAAGATCTATACACCATTGATTTTCCCAAGATCCTTAGATCCACCTATTGACCCCCCAGATCCTTCTCCAACCATTGACACCCCCAATCAGATCCTTCTCCAACCATTGACCCCCCACAGATCTTCTCACATTGACCCCCGCCACAGATCCTTCTCCACCATTGACCCTCCCGAGATTCCTTCTCCACCATTGACCCCCCACCAGATTCTTCTCCACCATTGACCTTCCCCAGATCCTTCCTTCCACCATTGACCCCCACAGATTCTTCTCCACCAATTGACCCCCCACAGCCCACCGATTCTTCTCCACCCATTGACCCCCCACAGATTCTTCGCTCCACCATTGACCCCCCTCAGATTCTTATCTCCACCATTGACCCCCCACAGATCCTTCCTCCACCCATTTGACCCCCCACAGATCCTTCTCCACCATTGACCCCCCACAAGATTCTTCTCCACCAATTGACCCCCCACAGATTCAGTCTCCACCACTGTCCCTGTCAAACACACGCCTCGGCAGGTACCTCTAGCATGTCCCCAGGACAGGATTACCCAGAGCGCGGAGTCTAAGTCCCAGTCTGCTTGTTCACCAGGACCCCTGATGGTGTGGGATGGACTTGGAGCAGACAGTGACCAGGGTCGCACGGCCCCTGCCCTGAGTACTACTGCCCGTGGTAGAGGGATCCGCCAGAAGGTATATGCAGGTTAGAGAAGCCTGACGTGAAGAGAGTGGAAGGCTGGAGCCGTGATGAACTGGATCTGTGCAGGATGGATGGAATGGCAGCAGAGTTAAGTGAGCGTGGTCAGATGCGGCCGGGTATCGGTAACAGTGGGGTCAGCGTGGTACAAGGCAGCAGGCAACAGAGTTAGTCGGGTTACTCGCCGGGTTTCAGTAACAGCGAGGTCAGATCAAATAGGGATATCCAGGATGAGAAGTTCAAAATGAGCCAGAGGTCAGAGCAGGAGAAGTCAGCAGAGGTCAGAGTGGAGAGTCAGCAGAGGTCAGAGCAGGAGAAGTCAGCAGAGGGTCAGAGCAGGAGAAGTCAGCAGAGGTCAGAGGCAGGAGAAGATCAGCAGAGGTCAGAGCAGGAGAAATCGGCAGAGGTCAGAGCAGGAGATGTCGGCAGAGGTCAGAGCAGGAGAAGTCGGCAGAGGTCAGAGCAGGAGAAGTCGGCAGAGGTCAGAGCAGGAGAACGTCGGCAGAGGTCTCTGGATCAGGAGAAGTCGTGGCAGAGGTCCTGGATCAGGAGAAGTCGGCAGAGGTCAGAGCAGGAGAAGTCGGCAGAGAGTCAGGATCAGGAGAAGTCGGCAGAGGTCAGGATCAGGAGAAGTCGGCAGAGGTCAAGGATCAGGAGAAGTCGGCAGAGGTCTGGATCCAGGAGAAGTCGGCAGAGGTCTTGGATCAGGAGGAAGTCGGCAGAGGTCTGGATCTAGGAGAAGTCGGCAGAGGTCTGGTATCAGGAGAAGTCGGCAGAGGCGTTGGATCAGGAGAAGTCGGCAGAGGTCTGGATCAGGAGAAGTCGGCAGAGGTCTGGATCAGGAGAAGAGGGACGGCAGAGGTCTGGATCAGGAGAAAGTCCGGCAGAGGTCTGTGATCAGGAGAAGTTCGGCAGAGGTCTGGATCAGGAGAAGTCGGCAGAGGTCTGGGATCAGGAGAAGTCGGCAGAGGTCTGGCTGATCAGGAGAAGTCGGCAGAGGGGTCTGGATCAGGAGAAGTCGGCAGAGGTCTGGATCAGGAGAAGTCGGCAGAGGTCTGGATCAGGAGAAGTCGCAGAGGGTCTGGATCAGGAGAAGTCGGCAGAGGTCTGGATCAGGAGAAGTCGGCAGAGGTTGGATCAGGAGAAGTCGGCAGAGGTCTGGATCAGGAGAAGTCGGCAGAGGTCTGGATCAGGAGAAGTCGGCAGAGGTCTGGATCAGGAGAAGTCGGGCAGAGGTGTGGATCAGGAGAAAGTCGGCCAGAGGTGTGGATCAGGAGAAGTCGGCAGAGGACTGGATCAGGAGAAGTCGGCAGAGGTGTGGATCAGGAGAAGTCGGCAGAGGTGTGGATCAGGAGAAGTCGCAGAGGTGTGGATCAGGAGAAGTCGGGCAGAGGTGGTGGATCAGGAGAAGTCGGCAGAGGTTGTGGCGATCAGGAGAAGTCGGCAGAGGTGTGGATCAGGAGAAGTCGGCAGAGGTCTGGATCAGGAGAAGTCGGCAGAGGTCTAGAAGCAGGAGAGTCGGCAGAGGTCAGATGCAGGAGAAGTCGGCAGAGGTTCAGGATCAGGAGAAGTCGGCAGAGGTCAGGATCAGGAGAAGTCGGCAGAGGTCAGAGCAGGAGAAGTCGGCAGAGGTCAGGATCAGGAGAAGTCGGCAGAGGTCAGGATCAGGAGAAGTCGGCAGAGGTCAGGTTCAGGGATTGAAGTCGGCAGAGGTCTGGATCAGGAGATAGTCGGCAGAGGTCTGGATCAGGAGAGAGTCGGCAGAGGTCTGGATCAGGAGAAGCCGGCAGAGGTCTGGAATCAGGAGAAGCCGGCAGAGGTCAGAGGATCAGGAGAAGCCGGCAGAGGTCAGGATCAGGAGAAGCCTGGCAGAGGTCCAGGATCAGGAGAAGACGGCAGAGGTCAGGATCAGGAGAAGCCGGCAGAGGTCAGGATCAGGAGAAGTCAGCAGAGGTCAGGATCAGGTTCAGGGTCGGTAAAAATATCATTCGCAGCAGATACACAGGAACAGGGAACACATGGATACAAGACCAATTGTTATTTTTTACGGCAATGAGAGGTCTGTGGAGGGCAGGTTTAAATACCCGCGACCCTGGTCATTGGTGCCCAGCGCGAGCGTCCGCGGAGTCGTGAATGTGCCGTGCGCGGCCACCACTGCCCAAGGTCCAGAGTGCCCGCCGGCTAGATTGAATCGGCGTTCTGCACATGCGCAGACCCACGTGCCGCCGCAATCCCTGACATTGCCCCCCTCCGGAGATGGCCCACCAATCTACTCCTCCGTGGGTGGCTACGATAGAACTCCCGGACAAGTCTGGGGGGCGTGAACATTCTGGGCCGGCTCCCACGAATTCTCCTCAGGACCATAGTCCCTTCCACTTAATCAGGAAACTGTGTCTGGTGGTCCCGCCTCTTTTACCCTGCAATCTAAATTGAGTGCTTCAAACTCACAATTTCTTTACTATCGTTCATTAACCTGTGTGTTATGGCCTCCGAGAGGCTCTCGTGACGTCGCGATTCGGGACGGGAGCTGTTACAGGCGGGATTCAGTAGACGACACGTGGAAAAACGGTGTGTAATCTTAAAAGTTCCTGGATGTGCCAGTCTTAATACGCCGCTTCATTGATTTTTCCATTTTCACCGCGGAATGGGACCCTTAAATTTCGGCCCCCGGCCCCAGTTTTTTTCGAAGGACAAAGATATCCGCATAATTGGAGTGTGCTAGCCAGACATGGAGTCCCCCGGGTTGCAGACTGTAGCTCCACCCTCATTCCTTCTCCTGTCGGATGACTCATATTTTAACTGTCCACCTGGGCCTTTTTGCAACAGCTTCTTGAAGCACCTTGATTATTGGCAGAAAACAAATCCAGCATATTTTGTGAAGCAGGCGACCGGGCTTTCCAGGAATTGGAATGGTCAGGTAAAATCGTGGGGTGTCAACCGTTTTAATTTGGCATAAAATTGGGGGGATCGCCCCGATAGTGGAAATGATTCGTGTTATTGTAACGCGATATTCAGCACCAATGGCAAGAGAGCCCAGCCAGTCCCATCCTGTGTAAGTTACCATACAACATTAGCCGAGTGTGGGGAAACTGTGTGTCCAAGTTGTACCACGTCCTCCGCCACCCTCTGTCCTAAGAATACCACGTCCCACCGGCCACCCCTCTGTCCAAGTAATAACCACGTCCTCCGCCCCCCTCTGTCCAAGTGTACCCCGTCCACCGCCACCCCCTTTTTTGTCCA